TCTCCCCCGTCGTCCATCGGTCCTGCCACTCTTGCTGGGTTTCCGCTTTTATCCTTGTTTTTGCCTCCTTGAAGTTGTCGCATTTCCTTTTAGCGTCATAGAGCTTGGCTCTCTCACACGCTAATAGGTCGATAGGCGTTGCTCCCGCAATGACCAGTATTGCCGCTTCCGAGACGGTGCGGTATGCACAGGCAACCCTAACAGCGCCTCTCCGTTGCACTGCTGCTATTTTGCGCCTGTATGTTTTCTGGTTTAGGATGTCCGCCCATATCTCTGCTCCGTAGAGCAGCACTGAGTGAACTACTTCGAGGAGGACTCGTCTTTTTTTGGTTCGAGGTTCCATCGTGTTGGCCATGATCCTTGATAAGCTGGATACCGTCTTGCTAGCTCTATGTCATGCACTATCAAGGTGTTCACGGTAAGATAGTTTTTCGTCATTACCCCTAGGTAGCGTAAAGCTCTCGTTGACGTCAAAGTTGTACCTCCCATCTTTACGGTGAATGGTTTAGGGAACCATTTTTGTCGAGTCAGTACAACCATCTCTGTTTTCTGCTTGGCATGTGTCAGGTGGTGTTTCTCAAGACAGGCTTCGATGGTGTCAGTGGTCTCCCGAACTAATAGTTCTGCTTCTTCGACACTGTCCACTTCTATTGTAGCCGCAACGTAATCCGCAAATCCCGCAAGTTCCACTTGTTGCGGCAGCGGGATCCTCAGGAGCTCGTCATAGTCTGCGTTCCATAGATGGGACCCCATGATTGAGCCCTAAGGCACGCCGGCCATTATATCGTGCTCCTGCGGGCCTTCCGTCGATTCTACAATTAGCGTCCTTTCGTCGAGGTAATCGTCAACCATTTCCAGATTGTCTGACTCTATATCAAATTTATGTTCTAGGGCGTCCAGAATATCTCCCCAATTCGCGCTGTTAAAGGCATTTTTAACGTCAAATGTTAGAAATAAACATACTTTGCGAGTTTTGAGACTACCAGACCATGTTCTCTTGCAGTCTCTATCACCTTCTGAATCACGTCGATCGTCGATCTAGCTTCCGAAACCCGTATTGGTTGATAGCAAAACCTCCAACACGGTCAATGTCGTTTCGAAGCCTGCCTTGAATGAGCTTTTCGAGCAGTTTCCCAGCGATGTCAAGCATGCAGAGTGGTCTAAACGAAGCTGGAATGCCATCTGGGTTGGGTGCTTTTCCTACCTTGATGGTCTTTGCCGCGTCTTGCAGTTCCTTGGTAGTAAAGGGAGTCGTTTCGCCACTTTTAACATAGTGTCTCTTCCTCCGCGGCGGGTGTTTGGGCAACAGCTGCGCCACGATGCTATACATCACGGAGGGGGGTTTTGGCGCTTCTGGTGCAGCTTTTCCAAGTCGTTTAGTGACAATTTGGTAGGCTTTACCCCAGATATCATTGTTGAGGTCATTGCATAAGTCTTTCCATAGCGTCGCTTTCCTTGTTTTGATGGTTTTATTCAAGGTTTTTTTTGCGTGCTTGTACTCGTTCACATACAGTTCCTGATCGGGTGAACGTTTTGCAGCCCTCGTTGCGCGGCAACGTAGCACATGGCATGTTCTTCGTAATTCTGCTATCTCCGGTGACCACCAGTATGCCGGTCTGTGTGCACGCCGAACTTTCAGTCGTGGCATAGAAGCGTTACATGAGTCGAGAATAACGTTCATGGTTCTTGTCACTATTTCTTGGCTTTTTTCCTTTCGGAAGCAGTACTAGTCGTTGCTGTTTCCACTTCTTTGGGAAAATCCCTTCTTTTAGGCAGGTATTGTACGCGTCTAAGAATAATGTCGGTGCTGCCTTTATAATGGTTTTCAGTGCAATATTAGGAATTCCGTCCAATCCCGGAGCTTTATTATTTCCTACACGGTTACAGGCCTCCATCAGTTCCTCTTCCGTGACAGATGGTATTTCGTCCACTTCACCTGGAGCCAATTGGTAATCGATATTTTGTTGCTGTGGAAACAACGCAGTGACGATTTTTTGAAGGAGGTGAGGACACGTAGGTGATGGCATTTATTGCTTTTTCAGATGGGTCATGACTACCTTATAAGGTCTACCCCACACGTCTTTGTCTACCTCGTATATAAGTTCTTTCCAGCATCTTCTTTTGCTCTCTTTGATGGTTTTACTGAGTTCACGACGCGCTTTTTTGTACTCTGCGATTAACTCTGCTGAGTTGGGCCGTTGATAGCCGCGCTGAGAGATTCTTCTTTTTCTATGACACTCCTTACGAAGGCTGTTGATGTGGTCGTTCCACCAATGCACCGAAGATCTTGAATTTGTGTCACGTTTACGAGGCACACTGGCATCACAAGCATGTGTCACTCTGCTGCTGCAGGTTCTTCGTCTGTTCTTCCGCACATCCAGTGTTGATCGGATCGCTATCGAAAGCTATTAGCAATGCTTCTGAGTCAAAAGATTTTACCTTCCAACCATTGCTGTTAGATTTCTTGATTTGTCTCCTGAGGTTCTGGTCGCTTGATATTTCCCAGAATATTGCATGATGATCGCTGGCAGTGTAGATGTCCAACACTTTCCATTTGTTGTTACCTTTAGCAAGGCTACTACTGACAAACGTGAGATCTACAGTCGAGCTTGCGTCGCCTTTGGTGTAGGTCGGCGTGTCACCACTATTGAGTGGAACTACATCTAGGGTAGTAAAGACCTCTAGTAGTGCTTTACCTCGAGCGTTAGTCTGCTTGCTACCCCAGTCGACTCCCCATGAGTTAAAGTCTCCGGCTATCGCTACTGGATGGTACTTCTTCGCATCTTCGGTTAATCGATCCAGAAAATCAGTGAAGTCAACAATGGAGAGGTTAGGTGGTGCATAGCAGCTATAGAAGCGGATGCCTTCTACTGATGCTGCTATAAAGCCTGCATTGTTGTTGTCGACTGCGTTCTGGAAAGGAAGTTTGCCACATGACGAAACGACAGCTTTAGATGTGCTGTCAGATTCCCACGGTTGATTACTCAGATGTTTGTACGGCTCAGTTATTAGTGCTATATCTAGCTCTAATTCTCGTACGGATTGCATGAGCAGGTCATGCGCCGCCTCACAATGGTTGAGATTGAGTTGCAGTATCTTCATGTTTGTTTGTTTGTCAATTTCTGGAGCGCCTCCTGAAATACTGGACATCTGTGGGTGCCGGCATGATGAACCACATCCTTCGCTCCTTGCTGTTCAGCACATATTACACAATTGGCAGAATTTTTACAGTCAGTGACACGGTGTCCTTCTTGTCCACATCTGATGCAGAGTTTAGACCGGTCTACTTGGCTTTTACATTGAGGTCCAATATGTCCAAAGTGCCAGCATTTAAAGCATTGGACTGGTCTTCTAATTGCTCTTATTCGGCAATTGACCCAGCCAATCCTTATTTTGCCTTTTCCATCTAATAGTTTCCACGCCGCAGTTACTGATAGGGTTCCTGTAGCGATTTGAGTACCTCTATAGGTCTTACGGATCTTGATTGCCTCTAATGATATCTTACAGCTATCTCCAACTTCCTTTTGAAGGGCGGCCTGGATGTCCGTCTTTGTAGTGTCGTCATCAATGTCAAGGATTTCGATTGTCTCTTGTGGCCCTTTACAGACTACTTTGTCGTCTTCTTTCAGAATGTCCGCAATAGTCTTTCTCAATGTTTGGCCTTTGTCGGTGCTTTTCCTCGAAAGAGTAATTAGCATATCTCCAGTGTTGGTCTTATAGATCTTCTGTACACTACCGCGGACCTGTTCATCAGGAACATCCTGTTTAACTCGACGCAAGATCTCGGCGTACTGTACCTTCTCTGTTGGACGGATGATAAGAGCATCTGGTCTGATCCATTTTCGCGGTTTCTTTCTCTTTGTTTCCGGATTGAGCTTTTTTGTCGATTCCTTTGTAAGCTGGTCTCTGCTTTGCCTCCTCTTCTCCTTCTTGGATTGAACATTCTGCCACTCAGTCACCTCTTTTTTTCCAGCGTTCTTCACGAATTGGCTGATGTTTCTTCATCGAGTTTTTTGAATCTCTGGAGGGCGTTCGTTACGCTGGTCGTCTTGGTCTTAATCTCCTTGTGGATATTGACCTTAGATTGGACGAACTCATTTAACTCGTTGGTATGTGTGTGTGTGTGTGTGTGTGTGTGTGTATGTTTTTTTTTTTTTAAGAGGGGGAATCCTTTTTACGGATTCCAGGCATAGATGTTTCGCCTGGATATGCGAACGACACTGAGTTATAATACAAACTGGTTGGTTGGTAGTAGTAGTACTGTGACTTTTTTCACAAATATTGGCAATTTTACCTCTGACAAATACAATATTACTATAGTTGGAAAGTAAAATTGGGAAAGCTTGCAATGGTTTTCATAGTTCGTTGATTCAGTGCATTTATGGATTCATCCGTTTATTCAACATTAAAGGAAAAGTAAATTAAACATTGAGATGGCAAGTAAAACGGGCACATGTGTTAGTATCAGAAAATAAATTTGTGAATTGTATTTAGAACATGACACTTGGGCACACAAGTTGTTTGTGGAATTTGACTTGGGGAAAATAACATAAGCACCAATTTGGTTAGTTAGTTGGTTTGGTAGGCAAGACCCCATTATCGGCTAGTACCTTTAGCTGATTTCTAAAAATCGAATAAAATTCTGTGATAATTAGATCTTTGGTGCATTTTGTTGTGAGCATTGAACATCGCAATTTAACTTTCTCTCGCACCCGGTAAAATCCGTGGTATTAGTCCCAAGGTTAGGTATGGATTTCTATCGTGTGGTTTTTGTTACTCAAATGTTTGGTTAAAGTTTTAAAGTGTTTAAGTGTTGCCTGCCCCGCTGTTTTTGTCATACGCTCCGGTTATATACCAGATGATTCCGGATTGTTCCTTGTGAAAGCGGGAGGAAGTCGATTTTTTGGTACCGATAAAGTCGTTTTCCGCAACCAGAGTACAAGTGTTGATTATATTTATTCTTTGTTGACTTTTTTGCGTTTTAGGAAATACATATTTTTGAAAGGAAACTCATAACCTGAAAATCGTCTTTTATTTATAAGCTTTAGGTCTATAATACTTAATTAATTAATAAAAGTTGTGCGATTTCCAATCAATATAACCCACAAAATTCACGTAGCTACACACAGAAAAATTTAATTTCTTTTATTGCTTTGAAACATTTGAATCTATCGATCAAATTGATATAAACATAATTGCTAATATTTCATCACAATGGCCAGTAGATATTGAAACTAACCACGTGAAGCCGAAAAATAATCGTTGGTTTACACTTTACATTTTTGCTAATTAACCGTGCGTATAGAAACTATAAAAGATAGTTCAAGTAAACAAAAAAACGTAAACGTCTATTTTAACGTCAATATATTTTGTCGACCCTTTCCCTTTATTTAGAAACAATAAATAAGATATTGACTAGAAAATAAACAAACATCAATTTTTTCTTATTATATCCATTGTTAAGCTGCGCTAAAAAAAATGTATTACCGCTTTTTCGGAAACTACTTTCTTTTTTTCCATTTAATTTTAATTTAATCGCATTTTCTCTTTTTTCCTATAATGTAACTTTATTACCAATAAAAATAGCATGATGAATAATGACGGTTTAAAAAGAGTTCCTATACGTAACATCACAGAAGATCGCAAAATAATAACCACTACTAGCTAATATATAAATTTGGGCACTTTCTATCGGATGTGTACCAACACTATAGAAAGAAAATAACTAGATCAATTTACCCCTCGAGCAAATTTGGCAATTTTTCAGGGGTTTATAGTTTTAAAGTTTCAGAAAACCTCACGTTGATCCGAGAATAGATTTGAGCTATGCTTTGCCACGGGCAAGAACGCATAACTGTTACAAGAAGAAGTATTAGAAAACTAAACAGTGGTGTCATTGCTTCCAGAGCGAAAAGTATTTCATTCCCTCTCTCGTCTGTGTTGTCTCGTTACGGAACAGGAACTAGAACGAAACGAAATGAAGATAGATATTTGACGATTTTTTCGGTCAAGAAACAGTGACATCATTGTACGCTTTCCTAATAAAATCTACAATCTAAGCAGAACCTAGAATTTCATAAGAAGAGTTACAGCAACATTAACTATTTTTTACAAAAAACGCAAATACGAAGATTAAAAATTCTACGTCGTCATTTTTTCTGTTTTTCTTGAAATTTTTATTTAAAAACTATAATTTAAAGTGGTTGGGGTAAATAAACATAATAATAATAAAAATAATACCCCGCTTAAATAAATAAATAAGTTTAAATAACATCGTGTGAGCTTTGTTTACCTCTCGCCACCTTTCCCTTACAAAACGTTCATCTGGCAAAAAAAAATTATTTTAACTGTCAACATTAACAAAATCCAAAGAGCCAGTCTCCGGCGTAGTTCAAAATATTTGCCCATCGCGCTCTTTACTCTCAGACGGTACTTTGTGGCACCCCGGAGACAGGTAATTGTGGATTCCCGAAATATAAGATAGGTAAGATACAAATGGTTCTCGTTATTTTATTACTGTATATTATTATACTGTATCCATTTTTTAGAGATCAGGTTTTTGCAATATTGTGTTCAATTTTCGTGAAACAAAAGTTGGAATTTTCAAAACAATCGTAGCTAGCCTTGTTTCCAAAATACCAGGTGAAACTGAAAATTTAGTCATTTACCCTGTATATTTTAAACTCCCTGTAACTTAAGGAGATGATGGAAACGGGCTCCTTTTGCATAGAATCCAAAGGTGTACTCAGATTTCTTGTAAAATATATAATTTTAATGACGCACTCTGTATAGTTTTTTAAATTTGACTGGTATATATGTTTTTCGAAACTCTGTAATTGTCCAAATATATATATTTTAAAATAAGCACATATTTTGATATTTTAGAAAATATACTTGTTTTCTATTTTAATTTAATATAAAAAATTATAAATTTTTTCCATAATTTACGAATTAGTCTTTGAGCATTCACGGCGATGACCGTATAGAACGTAGAATCCAGAATTCAGTGTATTCAGTCTATTGAACATTTTAAACGTTCTTTAAAAGCGATTTAAAATTATTAAAGAATTTTTAATAGAGAATTAAAAAATATATATTTACTACTATATATTTATGTACACAATATATTTAAGAAAAGAGTATTCTAGATTACATTATTGTCATAGCAGTTCATGCCTCATATTGCTTTCTGATCCAAGACTTTTGCATAGCCTATTATATACATTTTTAATAATTTTTTGTATTCTGTAGTTTCTATTTTTTCTGATTATAATAAAAAACAATAATAATACATTGAAGGGAATAAAGTAAGGATATTTAAAATTACACATTTAGGCAATTACATATTTTTGAATAGGGTCTAAAAAGCGCAATCTAAATTTTGAAAATTAGCTTAGCTTGTATCTTAAAATTCTATTTTTTACCAAAAATCTGAGTACGCTACTACGTAAAATTATCTATATGATTTCGTTTCCATAATCTGATTACAGTACAGGGTATTGAAATGCAAAGGGCTGAAATGTATTGTTTCAAGAAAATCGACCATAGTAACAACAAAGAAAATTTGACAGGCTGTACACGGTGGTCAAATTCGACCCTTTTAAAGGGAAACTCCCGTCTCTAAAGGAGATAGACGAAAACTAATGTCTGGGGCTCAATTTTCATAAAACACCTAATAGTAAAAACTGCACACAGATATCAAAGTAGAGTGTTTTTGGAAAATGCGCATTTTTAAAAAATCGACGCAAATTTTTTGTTATGGAAAATTTTGCGTTTCTATAAAAATATTATCAAAGCAACTTTTTACTTTACAAGAACAAAACTTGCAAGAACTAACGTGGTTAAAAGTGTCCAATTTGGGTCACCCTGTACAATTGTGGACCCCGTGCGAATATCTTCATATTCCCGAGCGTTGCATAATAAATACTTATAACTAATATTTCTCTAATTCTAAAATTCTCGTCGGAGTGTGTCACGTGGTTTCACACGTGACTGCGAATATTGTTTCCATTTAGATTCGATAATTCGGAATGACTTAAAGCCTGCAGTAGTGGCGGGGCGGTCCTGGTGAAGAAAGTACTAAAAAAGCGCGTCTGAAAACAAAAATCGAAGGGTAGATTTTTCTATTGATTTATGATCGACAGCGATTTTGTTAATTATCTAGTGCGAGAGCTACATCCGAAATAAAGCTGTGTGCACGCTTTCGTCTATCTATCACAGTGTACATTTTGGTTAGTTCGATGAGGGTGCAACTCGTTTTGCGAGTACGAAAAATATTTGTTTTATGTTACTACTAACACACGTTTGCATTTTAATTCAATGTTATTAATGAAGAACGTGTTTATAAGATTTATAAAAAATGGTCAATCTCTAAACAAGAGATCTTCAATTGTGGTTCAGGAAACTGCAGCCCGAAATATTTCTATTGTTGAGCGATTAAATCACCCTCCTGAATCTTTAAGCCACGAGTTTTGGCGTCTTCCTATCGACCTTTCTTTGCACTCTGCCCTCTATTATCATCCTCGGAAATTCACATTTTTCGTTCCTCGTAATGTAATCCAGATACTACATTTTTCTTTCTTTTACAGTGTCCAATAACTAACTAACTTCTTTGTTCGTGATTTTTTGTACCCATAAATGCATTCTTCTGTATATGTACAGGATTTTCATTTTTATTTTGACATCCACCTACGGAGTTTATTAAAGGGGATAGGTAAAAACTTTTTATGCAAAAGCTGGTCTCATACAACGTTTCTACCTACAAGGTTAATAGACTGCTGAATAGATATATTTTCTAGCAGGTTTTCTACTTCATTTTGAAGCAAGTGCAAATACCTATTATCCGTTAAAATCCCCTCAAAAATTACTGCTCCAATAATTTCAGTCAACATGCATCAAACATAAAAAGACTTACGCCCCCGGTATTTTCAATGGATCAATAATACTTATTTTTCCTATTGATCATCCCTGCAGTAGTGAAGGTCGCGTCGTCAGTAAAAGTAATTGTGTTCAAAAAAATACCTATACTTTTGAAGATTTCGGATCATTTCTTGACAATATCAAAGTCGCTGAATCTTATTTTTGTACTGGCAAAAATATGTAGGGGTGGGAAGTGTGTCGTTAATTTTTATACACTTGCGCCGCACATTTGTTTTCATTGGTACGTTCAGAAGATAATAAAGGAAAAATCATACAACTTTTGTATAAAAAGCTTTTGCCTATGCCCTTTAATAAACTGTGTAGGTGGGTGTCAAAATATAAATGAAAGCCTTGTACATCTCGAAAAAGATCATAAAGCAAAACATAAAAGTTATAGAATCTTGTGAAAAATACCCTCATCGTGATGAATGTTTTTCTCGACAAGACTTCCTTCTTCAGGGTACATTGGTTAGTTGGTATTCGCTCCTAGCTGTTTTATTTTATTAAGTCCATTTGTTCAATCAACTTCTCATTAGCACTCAGATGTACGTCAGTGACAATTTTCGAGAAGGCTCGGATTTGGTTTTGGAGACATTTAGTTGCTATTAGAATGATCATTCGATAGTCGAGAGGCATTGGCTTTTTTTGGACATCGTTATGAATGTTGACTTTAACCAGTCAACTACTATCTTGCCCGAAGTATAAATCTTGTTGTATCAGGCATGTTAAGCTCAGTCATAATATTTTGGTGTCGAATATTTCCAGTTTAGAGATTGCCAGTTCTTTATAAATTCTTATATACAGGGTTTTTCACTTAAAACTCCGCACGCCAATAAGTCCAAAACGAAAAGAAATATTTAATTTATGTAAAAAGTAGTCAAAGTGTGGGGTCAAGTAGATATTTCCTAAAATTTAAAAAATTCGACGCCTGCAAAGAGCTGGGCGTCGCGACGCGTCGAAAAATTATTCGATTGCAGAGACTTTGGAAATACGCGCATATAAAAGTACATATTATTTAAAAACTTTTTTGTTATTTACTCAAACATATTTACTTTACCCGTTTCTAAGTTATACCGATTTAAAGTAAACATTTCTTGATTAATAAAAAATGTGATTAACGCTTATTTTTACAAGTATGCCACGAATGTTAGTTACTATGGCAACCATTGTTATCGCAGTTGTTTTAAGTGCAATTACAAACGTAAGTTGTTATTGCTGTATCAAAAAATTGTCACATTTTTTCACGAGAAATATCCAAATTTGTTCGGTTAAAAAAAAACTAAGAATTATTATGTGAAAATGGTGCAATTTAGCAATGAGGAAAAAGTAGACATGTTACTGGTGTTTGGAGAATGCAGATGCAATTGTAGAGAAGCAAAAAGAGTTTACGCACGGCGTTATCCGCATAGAAGAGTCCCCGATGCAAAAACCTTTTTAAGTTTATGTAAAAACTTAAGAGCTTAGCTTCATAAAACCTAAAAGAGATAGGAACAGGACGGCTACAAATGATGAAAATACTGCTGCTATAATTCAGCAGGTTGATAATAACCCCAAGATATTCCTGTCAGAGATAAAAGAAAATACCGGTGTTACCATAAGTTCTTCGTGGAGAATTCTACATAGAAACTCTTTTCACCCGTACAAAAGTAAACTAGTTCATAAACTAGAACCAGGCGATTATGCTAGAAGAATGTATTTCTTAGCGACATTGTCCGATTTGTATAGCCAAGATGCAAATTTTCTCTCGAAAATTTTATGGAGCGACAAAAGTCGATATCAAAATAATGGAATCGTTAATAGACACAACTGTCGTTTTTGGACCGAAAACCATCCTCGTTGGATTACAGAAAGAGGTAACCAACGAATTTTAAGTATCAATGTTTGGTGCGGCATATTAAATGGATTCTTTATTGGACCTTACTTTTACGAAGGAACTTTAAATGCCGATCGCTATTTAAGATTTCTTCAAACTACACTTCCGGAACTATTAGAAGAAGTGCCTCTTGACACTAGAATGAATATGTGGCTACAGCAGGATGGAGCGCCTGCACATAATGCCCAAATAGTAACGAGGTATTTGAACCGAGAAGAGAGAGGTGGCCGGCGAGGTCCCCGGACATTACACCACCAGATTATTTTCTTTGGGGCTACCTAAAAAACGTTATCTATGAAGAACCTATCGAAGATATGGCTGATCTCATTAACAAAATTAGTGCAGCGTGTGCCGCTATCACAAGAAGGACTCTCCTACAAGTGACCCAAGCTCATCTGTTAAAAGTTTTTGATAGTTGTGTTCGAGCAGATGGACATAATTTTGAACAAAATTTTTGAAATGTCTTATGTAGTTAATTGCAATAATAATTTTGGTTATTAACTTGTAGGTATTTTACTGTTTTTTCATTTATTTATCATGTTATCAGAACTAAATCGATAAAAAATAATAAATAAAATCATACTAAAATAGTTGAAATCTATTGTTTGTAATTGTACTTAAAACAACTGCGATAACAATGGTTGCCATAGTAACTAACATTCATGGCATACTTGTAAAAATAAGCGTTAATCACATTTTTTATTAATCAAGAAATGTTTACTTTAAATCGGTATAACTTAGAAACGGGTAAAGTAAATAAATTTGAGTAAATAACAAAAAAGTTTTTAAATAATATGTACTTTTGTATGCGCGTATTTCCAAAGTCTCTGCAATCGAATAAGTTTTCGACGCGTCGCGACGCCCAGCTCTTTGCAGGCGTCGCATTTTTTAAACTTTAAGAAATATCTACTTGACCCCACACTTTGACTACTTTTTACATAAATTAAATATTTCTTTTCGTTTTGGAGTTATTGTCGTGCGGAGTTTTAAGTGAAAAACCCTGTATATAATAATAAGCTTATTATATATAAGCTTATTCATCATTCTAGTGAAGTTTTTAAAAATACGTGAAAGTTTTGTGCGGTTAACTCTCTTTTATTATGATCCTGTACGTAAATTTTTATAGATCTCTTTTCGTTGATTTGACATTGCTCCGTTTCCGATATATTCGATGGTAAAAAATAAAAAAACAATTATAAATTAACATGCATTTTTAATGCACCGCTTTACCTTTGGTGCCTTTTCATTATGATTATAATTTTTCTCTCAGTGCAATTTTGAGTTTTTTAGCCAAGGAAAGGAGTTTCTAAGGGAAAATGTTACAGTTAAGCCTGTTAAAAAAAGTAATCAGTTCTTCAGATGTTTTAGTTTTTATTATTGTGTAATGTACGGAAACACATATTATTTCACAAAAAAAGTTACGGTTATTCTAAACCATCAAACCCAGGTAGCATTTTTTTTAGCACTAATGTAGGTTTGAAAAATATGACAGAAAATTGAACAGACTTCTTTGAGATACCCAGTATATATATGTAATGTAAAATAGGACACACGCAGAATATATTTCTGATACCCAATGTAAAGTCGGAAGAAAAGGTCTAGAAAAATTTTAAATAATATACACAGTATACCATTAATATATATATATATATATATATATATATATATATATATATATATATATATATATATATATATATATATATATATATATATATATATATATATATATATATATATATATATATATATATATATATTATTATTATTATATTATTAGTATATATTATGATATACTTTCCACAAGCGACAATGACAGTACTGTTTTGGAAAAGTAGGCAATTGGGTTAACAATATTTATTTATACTTAGATATTAAGATAAGACCTTAAAAAAAAGGTGATTCTTTCAAATTAATCCAATTGCCCACTTTCAATAATTACCTTTAATTTCGAAATTCTAAAACGATTTTATTGCATGCACACCCCCGTGTCTAATTTAGATCGGTACGTAAGCGTCTCTTAATTTTAGATTGCAGGACCTCAACCGTGCAAAGCAAATATCCTGGAAAATTATAAAATGTACATTAACATTTTTAGGGAGTAAAAGATACGATCACTTCTAAAGGAAGAAAGCAACAATATTGCGGTTACAGTATTTGGTTTTGTGTTTATTTAATTTTATGTCTCGACATTGACTATTTAATCGGCATTTTTACATCAAAGCGGATTAAAACATAAAGATCACCAAAGGATGAACGAATTAATAAAGAAAACAAAGTTCTAAAGCTCCAAATTTACATATCTAATACAAATTTAAAATATTGTTGTCTTTGGTTACATATTTACCACAGATTCATTATCGTTACCTCCGTACCAGCTGTAGGTAGGCTACAAACCTACTAAGAAAATACCACAAGAATATTTATTTAAATTCTTGTTTCTTTTATTTTATACTTTGTATTTTTATAAATAACTACTACTTTATTTTCAGTGGTTGGTATTATTCTTTATTTCCGCCAACCATACATAAAGAATAGAAGTAGAGGTTTATCTTAAATTGAAGAAGAGCACATTTATTGTTGTTTGCACTACAACCGCTTGTTGATGGTGTTTCAGAATTTTCTTTTTGCTTTTGGCCTTTTTTAAACTATGATTTGGTCCCTTCTAAGCCTTATTAACTAGTGTAGGTGTTGGGTAAAAATGACAATAAGCTGGTTAGTTGTTGAGATTCCTCTATTTGGATGATGCTGTAAGTACATTCTACTCTGTTACAGTTTACAATGTAATTAATGTATGTTTTGGAAGTGTTTTCGTTAGGAGAAAGATATTTGTATTGATGTTTATTTAAAAAATGCACAACAAATTATGTTATTGAAGAGAAAGAATTGTTTCGAGCAGTACTGTAAGGAACCACTGATTAAGAGGAGTTCGCCAACAATTAAATTACCAATTATGTAATATTTCTGCCAGATGTTGATTCATAAAATTAAATATACTTATAATTTATAAGATTTGGTTTGTTATTTTATTCACTATAATAAGCATAAACCGTAATGTTATTGTTTAAAAATTAAGTAAAGGACACAAAGCATGACCTTTTAAATAATAAATGTAATGCAGTATCTTGAATTTATTAAAATGCCAATATTTCTCCTTATGTAGCAGTTTTGAATTATCTTGGGTCAAAATGATAGCTTTTCGAGGTTTTCAAGTCATTTCTCCCATTCAGCTTTATACTAATCCCAAGGAATGCCTGCGCGGCACATCATAACAAAGTGCATTTTCATAAATATGGGCTAAGTTTTCGCGTCTATAAATAACTACTTCTGTAAAAAATTTCGTAAAATCATTTTTTGGAGGTAAAATTTAGTTAACACTCCAATCGCGTTGGCACCACAGTAAGGGCAATTTGTTTCTATCGCATATGACCATGTAATTATTTTTATTTATGCTGCCAACTTAAATCTATTGAATCATAGTACAAGCAATATAGTACAGAACAATATTAGTGCCGACTTGTTGCCAGGTAGGACCGCTTCTTAGCTAGTTTGCACTCTACCTACTTGAACGGCGGATTAAAAGTGTAGAAGTGATGTAATCTTTTACGACCTAGCTGTACGCAACTTGGAGGGAACTTACCGCAGAGTTAGTAATGTGATTATAAAGTCGCACGCAAAGAGTATAAAAGTTTTCCAAATGTATCCTTTGCAATTGCTTCCTACAAACATCGTATTGGTCCCCCTGCCACGCGCAAAACCAGACTTTACCGGTAATAGGCGGTTAGTGTTACAATTACATTACATACCACTCGCCCAACTACGGTTATTCATTCGCATTTGTCAAAAATCCATCCCTCTCGCCATATCATATGGATACGATGACAGGCAAAAAAAAAAGATTCTTCCGTGCGGGCTATAGTACAGGGTGTCCCATACAACGTCGTCAATCAAATAATTTCGACAGGTTTATGAAAACATAAATAAACAGTTGTAGGTAGTTTCAAAAAATCTTTCATTTTATACAGAGTGGCAACTTTTTCAATGGGTATGTATCGTGTTATATGTTACGTATAAACAATTGAATCCCGAAGAATCTCATTTTTGATTCTATAACTTTAGTTCAACTGTTTTTTTTTTGCAAAATACAAGGAGCTTCTGGGTATTAGGTATTAACAGAATTGGAAAGAACCTCGTACAAAATACTTGGAAAAATGGAATCGAATCTAAGTAGGTTAGTTTTATTTTTACCACGTGCATTTAAAAAAAAAAACAAGATTAAAAAAAAGGTTATTATGTTTTTATTTCTCATAAACCATTTAGTTAATCCCGGTTACCACGCTCGTAACCCGATAGGTTAACAGCAACTATCGTGGTTTATAAATGTAAAAAATTAAGATTTGCCTTTATTTTTTCTGTCTTATTTATTCTAAAAAACATCTAAAGTGTCTGGACTTATCCTCAAAATTAATAAATGTTCAGAAAACTCCAGGGACTATGCCTTAAACAATTCAATTACTCAATATACCAATCACCATTTTCAACGAACCGATTTCTAACATTAACAGGATCAAACGTCCGCTATTCCTTCACCCCTTTCATTTCATTTCACCCCTTTATCATTTCAGAAATTACTCTACGACCCTAAACAATAAAGTCACGTGGACTTTAATGAGAGGTGTAAAAAGTCCCCATTGTAACATTGGTTATAATGGGCCTGTTTCACATTTAAAGAAAAAATTGAAATTGAAACAAGAACTGATTCTATAGAGATATACATTTTTTTTGTGAAACGTTAAAGCCCTTAAATAAATTAAAGAATTTGGGCCCTGTAAAAACGGGGCGTGGCAAATTCCAAAGTGACAAGTTTTAGGGGTCGTATATGTGGTTCAGAATACTTCGAGAAACGATTCAGTAAAACTATTTATAGGTGTATCTTTCGAGCCGAAAGTGAAAAGAGTTTGGCAGAATGCCATGCGTCGAAATTTTTTTAAGCTGGTCAGAATACTTTGCTAATCATGTTTCTAGCTACCTACGTACTTAATCTAACCCAAAAATATATGTCATGGCCGTTAACTTTAAGTGGTTGATATTTTCCCATATTTCGCTTCCGCTGTTATGGAATATTGATTTTTGACTAGTATTATTTATCGGTCTGGACTAAACAGTTTTAATTCTGTCATTCGTAATATTGTGGACCCATAGGAACCGGAACCGAAGTACTGGTTAGGTCGAATTTCGAGTAGCTCCCATAGTTTATTTTTGATTAGCTATTTGGTAGTTGATCTAGTGGGTCGCGGATCGTTGGATTCCCTTTACTCAATTAAGTGATTAATTATTCAATTGTTTTAAACACTGCGTTGTGCATTCTTTTAATATATCCGAGAAGTCAAACCCTATGTCGCCTTGCTCGCCATCCTAACCCACTCCACCGAGTTTCTATTTTCTATTTTTATTTTTATTATTTTACGATCTCCGACACATATATTATTATTTCGAGGATTCTCAAGTACTTTTTTTGGTTAGAAAATTTATTTCTGTATTGGTCTTATAAAATTTCTACATAGAGTTTTAAAGAAACTTCTCCATTCTGCTGTAGTACTATATACAAAATTTTCTGGATTCCTCCTGCATCGGTGTTGTTAAATCGAATTTGCTGACGTTTCGCCCATCATCTTGTTCTTCTTCAGAGCTAATTCTAACTGAAACTGTCCAGTTAAGCTTTGAAACTTAGACGGCAACTGTTCAGTTAAGCTCTGAAGAAATCAATAGCATTATTGGCGTTAGCAAGTTCGATTTATCAATAACCAACGCAAGAGGAATCCAGAAAATAAAAATTATTAAATTAACAATGGACTTCATAAATTTCAACTAATTAACCGACTAAATTATTAATTTCATTTTAGGTAAAACAAGATATAGAAAATTCTATGTACATAACAACAGTGAAACAGGGAAACATGAAATTAAAGCCTCGATTGTTTGTTTCTTTTTTTTTACAAAAATTCGCTCCCTTAAGCCATCTATCACGAGGTTCGGTTTCCTCTACCTTGACTTTTTATTAAATTAATTTTAATAATAAACATGTCAAACTATGTACCTGTAATGGATACCGTAAATTTGTTATATATTACCTTTATTTATTTAGACTCTGTTAGCGGTTATTTACTTCTGCAATTTTATTCCTCGGATTTCTTCACTTTAAATAACCGCAAATAAATAACTTTCAAATGGAGAAAGCCAAATGCTTAAAATTGCAAAAATAGTATCGAATTAAATTTAATTATTTTAAAAGTAGCCACAATGTATAACCTGTACGTATCAAAAGTCTTCATTTTACAGAGGTTTTAAAAATTAAAAGTAACACCCTGTCCTACAGCTATGTCGGGTCTCTTTGATTCCCATAAAATAATGTCCATTTTCATCAGTATAAACCTTAGACGGGCTCCTCTAAAGCAATGATACTCACGGTAATGCTGGCGACGATAGCCCCCAGTAGCAAGCCCGAGAGGACGTCGCTCCAGTGGTGTTTGTAGTCTGACACCCTAGTCATCGCGGTGAACACCGCATTGAGAACGGCCAAAAATTGGAGCGTGTGCTTCAACAGTTTCGAGCCGTCCCATGTCATCCTTTTTTGCAAGTAAATCTGCGAGAAAACGTAAAAGCACCGAGGATACTATCAAAATATTCTTTATTTAAAAATATTCTCTACCTTAAGTATATTGCATAAGGCATTCTTAGAACAAAATATTTAGCATTGAAATTATTGATTTGATCTCATTTATAAAATATAAAATATTATATAGAGGAATAATATGTTTAATAACAGTGAATAATAATATACATAATAAAACTCAATAGGGACAAACCTAAAAACTCTTTCTACTTTGGATAAATATTATTAACAAAAATGCAGATAATATATATTTTTTATTCGATATGTGGGCATTCTGCATTTTCTTTGTTTGGAACATTTCTTTGCAGTCATAAAAAGTAGTATTTTGAAAAATATTAAATGCCCAAATTATTGTTGTGTGTTGATCAGTGTGTTAAGACGAATTAAGTCATCGCCTTTGAGGAAATTTTACGTTAATAACATGTACCGTCACCATGTTGACCGCGATACACAATTGCGAGCAACTGAGGCATTATGACAGCACCCCAGCAGAAGCTGTCAACAATTCAAGAAGTGATCTTGCTCGCTTATGGCAACGATATCAGAATAAAGGATGTTTGGGCAAGATACATGGGCTTTGCAAGAGTTACACAACCAATTAATGACAAATCCAGTGTCAACCAGGTAAGAATGAAACTCTAAAATGCTCATCACGTGGCTGTAAGTTGTAAGTGACCAGACTATACGAAATAGACTATACTTCATGCGAGAAAATCGATATGGATGGCTGGGCGTTCTAGAGGAGATTGAGCTAGGCGTTTAGAATGGGCCCGGGAACATTTAGACTGATGACGAAAATTGGGGATGTGTCCTGTTTATGGACAAATTTAGATTTGATCGAGTGATCGACGAATCAAAGTGCGCTAAATAATTCTGCCACCGACTTATCGCATGAAAAATACGGTTTGGAAAAAAAAGACTGATTTTGCAAGAGCAGATGATTAAATAGTTTTATTTCATTAGCGGAAATAGGCTTACAGAAGGAGAAACGTAAAAAAACGGACCGAGAACTCAAATCTGTGTGGTACAGACTCACTGGTATACAAAGTTATATGACCACTAAGACTTGTTCATAAATATTTCATTTCATGTGGGCCTCGTAGAGAAATAACCGTTCTTAAATTTCCATTGTGTTCATTTTTTGCTCATTCTATTAATTTTCAAGATAATCTCGCCGAAAAAAGATGGAGTGGCTTAATTTTTCCCTTCCCGATGAGAACTATGTTTAGTTTACAAGGTTATTTATAAGCGTTAGGTGGGAGACACGAAAATAATTTTATCTACAATTTTATGGGAAATATAAAAGGCCTATAACTTTTTCTCGTCTAAGTGATGGTTTATGAGCAAAATACTGGAAAGCGCCGTGAGGTCACTGTTTTTTTAGCGATAAGGAATGAAGTTCACTCCCATCCAGGGCGGCGAACTCTTTGGATCTGTAACCTTCCTAACTTTCTAACTTTTTTTCTAGAAAGTCTAATTTCACTACAAAATCTATATTGATTGCTTGGGAAGGGAACACAAATAACAGGAGAGTATTATATCGCATTATGCGACATTATTGAAACCGCAAAAAACGTCCTGTCATCAAGACAATGCATGTGTGCACACCCGCTCAGTTGTGATAGCCAAAATTATTATTATTATTATTCACCAGGTTTGGCCCTCAGTGACTGTTTCTTCCAGGGTTCCAAAGGTTTACGTCTACCGAGGAGATAAGTGTCCAAGCCAATGCCAATTTTGAGGTGCTTGCAATATCCTACTTTGCAGACGGCTTCAAAAAATTTGGAAAAACGCTTAGATAAATGATGATATTTTGTTGAAAAATAAAAAAAAATGCATCCAAAAAAGTTTTTTTTTATTGTTTAATGATTTATTGAACGGCCCTCGTACAAATCTAAGAATTTTTCTACCTAAGCATTTTTTTTGTATGTAAATTGCAAAAGTGTCAAGGAAACAATTACGAACAATGCGAAACTTAAAAAGTATCTCCAGCAAATTCTGCCAGACGCGCGGGTAACGCGCTTTTCAGAACAAAAGTGAATAGGAAAATCCGTCTCGTATCAATCAACGACCTCCATTCCGCGGCTTGCTTACGTAAATAAAAAACAAAACCCCTTCATTAAGCTGGGAAGTAACGCTTTAAGTGATCGATCAAAATCGGTTCTCCCTTTTGGTTGCAGACCACCCAGATTTAACTATTTGTGTCAAAACAGCGAAAGATACGAGCCGGGAACAGAAGGTTTGGGGGGTGGGGAGATACAATTCAACATTTTACGGGAAATATTAATCCCAATGAATCAGTAATTGAGGCACTTTTAATTGCCATCTGAGGTTTATTTCACACAGTTGCAAGTGTTCTTGACAAAATTTGTAAGAAAGCACCACTTGTAATGGGCAAGATAAGAGTCGTTAGAAGTTACACGTTGGGACAAAAGCCAACCATTAGGGAGATATCGTGCTAGTTTTTTTCTTTTCAAAAAATCACTGTAGATTTCTTTATGAACATTAAGAAACTTTTATAACAAAACTTTTTTCGAAAAAAGAGGAAAAAACAATAGCCTGAGCTAAAAATCGAAAAAACTGTTTTTTTCACAACTTAAATATTAATAAATAAATGAAGCATTGTCTCCCAATTTATTCCTAGCATTGTCCAACATTGAATTTCGTGCCTCATCGATGACGTCATTAAAATTGATTACTTTTCGATTTGAAATTTTAAGCACGCTTAGCTAAGTCTATATTGCCCATTAGTCTTGGCTCTTAAGCGAACCATTTTAATTAAGTTAATTTAATTAAGTAATACGACGTTTTATATTTTCTTCGAATACTCTCTTATATAGTTACTAAGTATACAGTGTGATTTAGGTTTTAAGGCACAAACTGAAATGGCTAGTAGATCGCATAATTTAAGGCAAAAAAAGTTAAATATATAAACATGAGTTCGATCTCTCGAAAATTTATTTATTTTTTTTTTAATTAAAATATAAAACTCACTTTTAAAAGTATCAAATTTAAAATTTGGCTTGGTTAATACTTTCTAGACGATCATCATTTTAAGCATTTTAAAGATTTTTAAAATCTATACGCTTTTAGAGGTAGAGGCTGCTTTATTCCGCCAAGCATTTTCGTAGTACGCTTCTGATAACTTCCAGTTACTAAACTGATAAACAACCATATTCCTTTATTTTTGCCTAAATTTTATTCTTTTATTCGTTAAAAATGCATGAATCATTTAACCAATTTTACCTTCTACCCCTTCATATTAAATTTGTCAGTATTACCCCAACATATCACAGATAGAACGACGATCTTACGGGAAGAATTAACCACACCAATTTTCAAATTAATATCTTCAAAAGTGATTAATAGAAAAACAAACTATCTATCTATCTATCACCCATCAAAGTGTAGGCCTTAAATCCCGAATCACCCCATATAGAGCCCCAGCCTATATTGATAATACAGGAACTTTTGAAGAGGGGATGAAACAATAAAGCAAAGAATATGCGCATGCGCTGTCATTTCAAGCTAACCAATAAGATCTCACATCACTGATCACAAACAACAAATAGGTTGATTACAAGATGATTCCAATTTAAATGGCTCGAGATGGACAAGTTAAAAATATTATTACTTACCGCAAAATACAACATAGAATACATAGAAAAAGAAGAATGTCCCGACGGGAATGATAATCTGAAACAAAAGATAAGGACGAGGTGTAAAAAATACCTTTCCTGTTGTAGATTTACGAAAATTTAGTCCGCATATTCTGTCTTGTAGCAAAAGAGATAAGTCCGTGAAGTTTTGCTAAAATAAAAAAGTTCAGGTGTAAGTGTTAAACCTCAGACCTTAGAATTGTAAATTTTGAAAATTGAAATTCCCTAACTATTAAAAATGAATTTGTTAAAGTCAAAGTAAATGATTGTAAGCACAATTTATTGGTACTTTGTCTCAAAGTCTTGGTTTGTGCCGGCAGAGCATCAGCGACGGATTTTTAACGTGTTTTACAAAAATAAAGATTAAACATAATATTATGTTTATTTCTATTCACAATATAATCCTGTTTCACTATAAGTATTAATTACAATGGGCTCTATGTTATTGTATTCTAGTATAAGATTCTTCAATTTTTACAACTTAGTCTACTGCATTTTTTCAGCTCTTATTTAATGACCTCTACTTATTTAACATTCACAAATACACATTTTTCACAATTCATTGTAGAAATTAGTGATATACTTGTAAGAAGCTTTTCGAAAACGCCGATATTCTTTGAGACAGTATAACAAACAATAGTTATGAGTAATTGAACTGAGATGGCTTTTACTTGATGAAAATCCATTTACCAAAATAAATAAGAACTAAAAGTTCAGATTTTCACGAAATTATATATTTTGACATGACAATTGTTTCGACAACACCGTGTCTTTATCAAATGTAAAATTTACAAACTACCTGCTACTGTATATACCGAAAAATGACCATAAAACCTTAATTAATGTTGTTCTGAGAATTTAAGTTCAATAAAGGAGAGGTATTTAAATCTAATTGATCGTTAAGCAATACATTTGAATGTCTCATTTTGTTAATCTCCATGGCTTCCAATAAATTTAATTTTCTACTTTTTGTGGCTGTATGTAAAATATCAAAATTGTCGTCAAAAATGTGTTTTTCTGTGTTTAAGTGTGTAGCATAATTAGAATCTAGACTATTGTTTTTAAACGTTCTTTTATGTTCGTTAATGAGTTTCTTGAAGGATCTACCTGTTTGTCCAATATAAATTTTAGGACAAGATCCGCATTTCAACCTGTAGACACCTGATTTTTGAGATTTTGAACATTTCGTTTTATTGTTTTTTAACAATTTTCCTATTGTATTGTTAGTTCTTAAAGCTATTTTTAAACCACATTTTGACAAATGTCTGCATTTGTTATTTATTTATAATTTTATCTATAATAGACGGATTGTAGCCGTTGTTCAGTGCAATTTATTTAATGATATTAAGTTCTTTTTTGTAATTTTCTGTTGAGAGTGGCGTATTAAGAAGTCTGTGTATAAAAGAGTGAAATGCAGCCATTTTATGTGTATGAGGATGATTTCAGCTGTTATGTATGACTGTGTTCGTGCGAAGGTTTATGATAAATTGAAAAATCTAATTTGTTTTGCGCTTTCGTAATAGTTAAGTCTAAAAAATTAATAGAGTTATCCTGTTCAATCTCGATAGTGAATTTTATATGATTATGTAATGAGTTAATGTAATTTAAAAAATATTTCTATTGTCTGTCCGTTCCAACAAAGCAAGCAAAGATATCATCCACGTATAAATACATAATTTCGTGAAAATCTGAACTTTTAGTTCTTATCTATTTTGTTATGAGTAATGTTAACCAACATCAGTACAAAGCCTTATAAAAATCAAGTTTATCACGCTTGAAGAAAACCCAATTGAAAATAAGCGGCAAAAATTTGAAATTTTATTAACAACAAATGGAAACTTCTAGAAGGGTCGAAAAGTCACAAAAATATCTTTACAAATCGTAACGGAACTTTTACATAAAATTATTTCCGCCTAACTTTCGGTACATAATCTAAATATTACATTCTCATAAAGGCAAATGTAAAACGTTAAATAATACATTGTAACGAATGGAGTGAACATTTTGAAACACACGCTCGACAAAACAACATTTACTAAAGTTGTTCAAATCACGTTTCAAATGTCGCCACGCTTTGTAGAACAAATTGCGATGGAAGCAGTTATTCTCATATAACAATGAAAAGGAAATAAGATACCCATGGGTTATTTTCAAAAGGTACATTTGCGGAGGAACACAATACATTTTCCGTATCAATTTTAAAACTTGAAAACTGTTCAATTTAATAGTTTGGGCTGAGGTAGTTAGTACGGCATTTACCTTAATATCCAGAACATTAATTTAAATCCATGATAAAATAACAAATTAGAATCTGATCTTCTACTTGCACCCTTGAATTTTTGAAGAGTATCTAGGAACTTTATGATAAACTAGTTCTAAGAAAATTGTTATTTTCAAAGTAATGGTTCCAAAACTTCCATTATAGTGTAAAAAGGTATTTTCTTTACTTAATTAATTCAAATAGTAAAAAACCAATAGTTTGGTAATCCTGCAGTTTACGTATTTAGTATAGGCGGGGTCGTAAATACCAAAATTGTTAGTTGGCGAAATCTATATCTATAGCAGTTTTTGTCCCCTGTTGCCAAATATTCAATTATTATTCCATTGATTCTGTGATTTCTGGTCTTTCATTTATAAAAAAAATATAATGGATCATGATCCGGCACCTATAATTAAAATTTTCAATTCCAGCACGATTTTAAATGATCATGCCAATTTTTGTGGAGAATTGGTATCTGTATAATATTCAAAATAAAATTTTGAATACTTCAGCTTTAATCAGGTTTTTCATTTTTAACTATGTTTTTACGACACACGTATAGGTTTTGATGATGACCCTCTCCTAACAATTCAATGACTGGCGAGGAGGTGTCTATTTAAGAATAGTAGACAGTGTGCCTGCAATAACAGATCTCAATAGCTTTATATATACTATAGCAATATATACTATATTTGGCCTCTTTTTACCGGGACATTTGCCAAGGTAATATTGAACAAAACCAAATGATTATTGGAGGTAGAGGACTATATGACGGCACGTCAAAAATGGTAGAAAGGGATGAATCCAAATTTTTCCATAGTAAATATCATTGAGGCCAGTGGGTTTTTGGGGCTATTGAGCAAGAGAGGATCTGGGAGATGTTTTCTGGTGTAAGTACCACACCTGCCTAAGCAAACGTTATCAGGCCAAATATCATTTTTAATCCTTTTTTTTTCAATAACATGGAAAGTATTACTTATTTTTATTAATTATTAATTATACTTATAGTTGTTAAACTTGTTAACTAGACATTTATTTTGAGCATGTTGGTTAGTAATTGAATAAGTGCTTCTTTTTTTATAAGTTTCAGTAATTTGACTTTTACGCATAGAATTTTTTTTTACAGAAATTCATTATACCTGGCACAATTATTATGTCTGATGGTTGGGCCTCTTACGCGAGTATTAATTAAATGGAAGGGTGCATATATAAACATAGGGTAGTGGTCCATGATCAGCATTTTATTGATCTAGATGATAAAGCACACTCACAACATCGAAAATATCTGGATGAGAGTCAGAATGAAGCTTTGTGTGGAGAGCTGTCAACAATATATTTTGGTTATTTCTGTGTGGTATTGGCTCAATATGTGGTATATTTTTTTGAATTCCTTCAGTTTAAATTTATTTTTGTTTTGAAAATTGAAAAATTTTCTTTTCTGTGTTGAGAACTTACGAATTTTATTTTCCTTTTATTTTTGTTGTGATGTTAGTTACATGAAATTAACTTTTACCTTATCTGTCAAAGTGAAAGTTTGGCTGAGATTGATAATTTTGAAGCGCCATGTACCTAAAATAAATATATTCGTTTGGCATATAATATTGCTAATACGTTGTTACAATAATCAAAACAAACACTACCAAAAAAACTCGACGTTTTTTATCTCTAAAAACTTTAGCTAGGGTAGTAACTCGCCAACGTTTTTGAAAATATGATTTCATTTTTCATTTCATTTTCATGTTCCGTTCATGCGTTAAGTGCAAAAAAAGAAAATCATTGCGATGTTTTTTGGGAAGTTTTATATAATCACAAGTTGGATAGATATATAACCACAGTTGAATATCATTTGGCGACCAGTTAAAATTTCGCAATCTGCTAAATACCTAGACTGCAGGATTACTCTGGTTTTAGTGGCTCAACTTACCTCATTTCTTTCATGACCCTCTTATTGTAAATATAAGATGGGTTCGTACAACTGAAGTTTATGTGGTAAATGTGCTGATTTTCTGGCAAAGAACAGTCTATGTTAGGCTCGCAAACGGTGTAAAAATGAGGCCTCAGTCGTCCTATCGTGTATTTCATAACATCCGTCGTCAATTGGGAGCATGCCGCTCCGAATGCGAAAATTCCAATGGCGCAATAACCGTTGTACACCCACTGAGGGACGTTCCACCCCATAAAATAGATTTCCCTTTTGTTGTCGCCGGGCCTGTTTAAGAATTCTGTTAGAACCATCTGCAAAAAAACGAACGAGAATTTCAGTTAACGTTCATCGAATCGGATATTATGAAAATTTTGATACAACTTTTAATATGTTGAGATTTGTTCTGTTCAATTTTATAGTCAATAAGCAACTCAAAGAAAAATTAAGCCATAGAGAACTCATTTTATTATTTTTCAAACATGTCTTGGTGCTAAACTCTTTTGCGGCTATTCGGAAAGAATATAACAAAGCCCCTAGAGAAAAGCATTTGTCCTCGTAATGGTGCTCGCACAGTATATGGTTGCGAATTTCTTTAGCAGTTTTTTTGTGAACAAATCTGGTCTACAGCAAGCTTCTAACCACAACTTAGCACTAACGCACAATTGATAATAATTGTTATTTATAAAAGTTATTAAATAGAAATACTCGCTTTTACGCGGTGTTTTTACGATTTTAAATTTAAATTGAATTGTTTTGTTTGGTGTATCACCTGCGTCCGCTTCTTGACAAACCGAATCTCTGCAGAAAGAAAGTTCCTAGAATATAACAGACAAGCTTCGTCGGTATTGATTAAAAGTTTATTTGGTCTAGACTACAGAAGAAGACGGAACATTAAAATCTGCCGCTTTGATATAGCGAGTTTTAAAGAGCCAATCAATAATGGATGTTAACAATTCACTGCCTCCCGGAATAATAAATCGCGGCAATTAAGGTACGTATGAATTTTTATTATTGCAATTAATAGAGCGCTCGAGCAATAAAATATAGAAGCGATTCTCGCAAGATGGGCGATGGCATTTTTATAGCTGAATTTGTTTTTTTAGGGAAAAATTGTAGGCAGGATCTGCGTATAATTAAGTATTTTACCGAAGGGAGTCGAAAAAAATTGATAAAAATCAAAATAAATAAGAACTAAAAGTTCAGATTTTCACGAAATTATATATTATGACATGACAATTGTTTCGACAACACCGTGTCTTTATCACATTTGATAAAGACAGGTGTAATATGTAATTTCGTGAAAATCTGAACTTTTAGTTCTTATTTATTTTGATGAATGGATTTTCATCAAGTAAAAGCCACCTCAGTTCAAAAAATTGATAGGATAGTAAAGCAGTTTTATTGGAAAGTGATGAAATTGTTTGCCGGTGGCAAAAATACTTGAAAGACTGGAATACCTATTTAAGAATATTACGAAGCCTTCACGAAAAGGAAAGAGAATAATAATCGCAGTATACTAACTATGGTAACTGGAGTTAAAGGGAAAAAATGGGAAAAAAGTCCTCCTGAGTTATTCACTTCGTTTTTAAGCTGTGCGGTGCGTCGGCGGTTATTTTGTGTTAGTGGTTCCAGACTTAGACGAGTTATGTACAGAAAAAATTAAACCCAAATGTCACGAATTTTTTGACAGTGGCAGAAATTTACCGACAATACGTCCTTCGTGATTTTCATTTAATTCCAAGTGGCATGCTATTGCAAGGCATTAAACCAGCAGTTATTTTTTGCTTATCCCAGATAAGTTTTTTTTATTGTTAGTTTTATATTACTACAGAGATCGAATTATTTAAGTTAAATTTGGTTTAATTTACCATACCTACCAAACATGTTCAGGTTTTGAAGTTCTAGTGTCACAATTTTCAATAGAACCAGATTGACAATTTGGTCTAACTTCTGCGAAGAGAATAATGTTTAAACTTCCTGGTATATCTCTTTATCTAAGATAACTGTTTAAGTTTTTTTATACCATCTATCTAGTAACCTTTTTTACCAATTTTCATTCTGTTTGTAGGAAAATGTTATACGCTCATTGTAGAATTCAAAAAATATTTTGTTTATTTATTGGAATGAAAAAAAAAACTTTAGTTTTTTACATTCCTTCTATTGAAGGAATATGTGCAATTATTTTACCAGCATCTTAATAGTAAATTATGCAACAAGTGCAGAAAACGGCTTTTGACTCACTAGCTTATATGACCCGAGCGGAGCGCAGCGGAACGAGTGTTTAATAAACGAGTGACTTAAAAAGTTTATCCCACGTGTTGTATACTATACTTTTTCTAGGACCGTTAGTTTTTGGGTATATTTTCGCAAAACAACACGAATACATTCACTGACATGACCGTCAGAATTGACAAACGTCAAAATTCAAAGCGTGGGAAATATCTCCGAAAACATCCGATTGTTCCCAAACCCTTACGGTAAAATCAATCCCGGAAATGTCCGAAGTTGCTCGGATTCGTGGGAAACGAAACTAACGTGGTAAAGTGACGCTTCCCGCACGCTAGATCCGTGTGTAATTATGTATTTTACAGACGGGAGTAGAAAATTAGTATATTATGCAAGTGCGGTAAACGTCATTTGACTCACGAATAACTTAAAAAGTTTACCGAACGTGTTGCATACTATACTTTTTCTACGACTGTTAGTTTTTGGGTACATTTTCGCAAAATAACACGAATACATTCATTGACATGACCATCATAATTGACAAACGTCGAAATTCAAGGCGTGGGAAATATCTCCGAAAAATTCGATTGCTCCCAAACCCGTGCGGTAAAATCCCGGAAATGTCCGAAGTGGGTCGGATCAGGGGGAAACGAAACTAATATGGAAAAGTGATGCTTTCCGCGCGCGGAAAAGTCTATTTTAGTCTGTGATTTGTGATAATATGCGTCCATATTGGAAATGAACTGAAGAAAGGAGGGCTTGCTAAACTTTCGGCTGTTTTTAAAGACTATTTTGGCGAAACTGCCAAAAAAATCCTAAACCATCAAATTGGAAATGCAAATAAAATGAAATTTGTACGAGATCCCATAATGAAAAACATCATCTTACTTTATGGGACGTCTACACACATACGCCCTTCGCATACATGTAATTTAAGTTACGCACGTCTGATGTCATTTAGGTTAGTTTATCCGGTGCAATATAAACAATACGCATATTATTACGATTAAATGTAAGTTAGTAGTAAGTTTAGTAGAAAATTAATTTAAACGGTGTTACTGCCATTATGTTATTGTAAGTGCCTCAGCGTACGTAATTGACTTATCAAGTCGAATAAGATAAATGCCATAAATCATGATTAGCGAGTAGATAATGAAAAGGCAAAGAGTTTATGGCGAAACAATTCACATGATACCTTTAGCAGTAAAAAAAATATTTTACCAACTTATTTTTCTGTTAATTTTTATTATGCGACTATGGACTAATAGGTCTATAGGTTGTACCTTCATTTTTGGTGACCACCGTTAAGCACCGCTCAACCACAAAATTATTAAATTTGTCTTTCCACTTAAAATGACATTTGAATATACTACAGAACCTTCTCGTAGTGTGGAACTGAAGACAACGTCTAAAAGATAGATTCGTTTTAGTTAGAATCTGCTTCAAATTTCATGATTATATTCCACCAAATAGTTAAAATACTTACTGAAGTAAACAACATTTTAATATCATGTTTATCGGTTTCTATTACCGTTTTGTTTGTTTCAAACACAAATTTCGGTCTGTTCCGGTTGGGGTTTAAAAAAATACTAAATACTTAAGTATAACGAAGGGAAGCCATACCAATCGTATCAGGAAAGGTTTTTGCTTATATGTAGTAAAATATGGGGAGTATCATTAATTCTTAATTCTGTGAGTGGATAGAACACTTCAAGCGAGTTTCGGCGAGTTGGTGTTTTTACACAGTCCACCGCGCAACGGAAATAACGAAAAATGTTCATAAATTTATTTACCTTATTTACCAATGTGCAATAAACCATAATTTACTAATTTTGACACTTCCAAATAGAAATAATATTTAAACTGAAATGAAATTAAAGTGTAATACACAGAAATAATTTGTGAAGTGGAGCAGCGCATGTTTAACGGATATTACAGGAATTTATTTTATCGAATTTCCCATCTTAACCTCCCGCCTGGGAACAGTTCTTCATTCCACGGTAAGTTTGTTGGCGCTGTTTTTGTGTTTCCAAGTTTTTATACTGAGTTTGCACTTTTTAACCTTAGTATTAATTGGACAGCATTTTGATCAAAACGCTTTATCTCAACCGCATTAGAGTTAGTTAATATTCATTAGAATTTGTAGCTGTTCTTCTGATTCCTCCAGCAGCACGGTATCTTGGGCATACCTTATACAGTTGATGATATTGCTATTTATTTTGGCTATTTGAAGGGATGTTTTATTATACGCAGCATACATGTTGAATAATAAAGGAGACAATATGCACTCTTGTCGTAAACGATTTTCCATTTTCTGTTTGTACGCAGCCTTTGTGGTCCCAGTTTATCATATCACATCATAATCATCAATGGCAATTAAAGTAAGGGAATAAAGAAAAAAATACATTTTACAAAAAGAAAACTAACCAAAACTAAGACAATGCCCCAACATAGTCGTCAATCATTGCATTAGTAAAATTCAAAAATTAAAATAAGAATTACTTACTTATCCGCCTTATTTGCCCAGCTAATTACCCAGAGACTACGCTTAAAAATTTTGAAAGGGTAAGAATCTACCTTGAAAAAATAAAAGGGACTAATAATGTAAGAGAGTGATAAAACCACTTTTTATTAAGATCGATCGATAGACCATCGGGACTATGTTGAAAAAATAAATAAAACATGTTTTCATTATCAGGCCAGGGAATTATCAGTCCACCCTCGTCGTTTCATAGACCCGGACCACAATTGACAAAAATTTACTAGCACGCACGTCACTGCTATTATGTTATAAATTGGGTCGTTCACTACAGCAAATACCTTTTTGAAGGCACTTTCTGATACGCGCCTGCCAGGTACCTGATGTAAACAGGTTGCACGTTCGTCATTACACCCACAGCAAACAAACGGGCCTCAGATTGTGCGCAGGCCCGAGAGAAAAGCGGAACGATTGTAAAAAATCGTTATCTCCCGCACAAGTCAAGTTTAATAACCGATCTCTACCGTCAAAAGTGTGAATTACGTTGCGCACTTTGCCGCCTATCCGATTCAATGATGTATTTACAGCGGCGCCGGCTAATAGAAA